AAAAATTCCTTTGTTAACAATCTACAAATATGATGAATAGACAGTGCTGTAAACAAAGTATTCAACTGAACTTTACAGGTACGTTCTGTGGTGTTGGATGTGAGGAAAAGTGTCAGTAATCTGGCTCAGTATCATCACCAGGTGTTACAGAGTGTAGCCGAGATGTAAACAGGTCGTCAGACTTACGCGTGATAGAGATCAACTGATTGCAAACTAAGTGATGCAGGAAATAAATTCATTTCTGATTTATGAAAATTGTGTACAATCCCACAGATGTGACGTGAATTTTTACGTTTTACACAAGTTTTTGCCTTTATTTTCAGCTTTAGGAATTTTCATCTACAAAGATTATCTTGACATGTACAATGTACATGTACAATTAATCAGTTATTTTAGAAACTGTTGTCATATTAAAGTCACGTTGGAGGGGCTTTATAAGAAATTTTCAAGAAAACAGAGGGTTTTTTTGAAAAATGTGTAAGGATTACAAAACATGTAGATTGATGTATTTATTCAATAGTATTCAATATTTGTTACCTTTATGCAGTTATTGATGCATTTGTTACCTAATAAAGTCACATAGTAGGCATAGAAAGGAGTGATATGTGCAATTTTATAAAGCACTTTTTGTGCTTACTAATGATTGCACCAAGTACAGAGAATCATAATCTGCAACTGCACAAAAATGTCTGAATAAGTCAAACATTGTAAATTACAGTAGTAGATGTACTCACAGTGAGGCAGTCAGATATGTATTATATAGTACCAATGGGCTTTCAGCACTGGGTTTTTTTCTGTCTTATTGTATGCTAGCTATATGTACAGTATGTGGGTATTAAAAGACACTTTTTATTGTTTTGTTTTTTTTCAAAAGGGATTTAATTGCAACTTCTTTTTCTTTCAATAAAAACCCTTAACTTGAAGTTGATACAGATTTTTCAGAAGGGGTAGTGTTTTTCTTTTCTATTCTATGTATATATAGATGAAATCTATGTTTCCAATGATTTTTTGTGGGATCCTTGAACTGATTTGAAAAATGTGTATGCCTTAGCTAATGCATGTAGGGGTACAAAAACAAGGATAGTATTGTTATGTATGGCTATGTGATGTTGACAATAAGAAGAAAAAGTAGCATGTATTTAAGAGCCATTCTCTGTAATGATTTGAAATTCTATATAGGAGCTGTAGCACGCATAGTCTCAGAATTTCTCCAAACTCTCTATGATAAAAGTCATTGACACCCTAAACTAAAATCAGGCAAAAATTGGTTGCTATGTTTTATAGTTACCATGGCAACATGTCTTAAAGTTTGAAAAATGGCATTTTTTAACATGTTTAGAGCCCCATAGTTAACAATTGCGGCAAAGCAAACAATTGGCAATGACTGATTCCAAAAGTTGAAGGTCAGATGTCTCAAATGCATGATAAACATGTTTGGTAAATCAACTATTACATACGTTACTATGGCAACAAAGTATTCAAAATTAAAAAAAATATTCATTGAATTTTATAAAGTCATACACATAAAAATAAAAAGCAATTATAGGATGAAATGTGACCAAATAATAGAAAAAAGAGCCTTGAAACATATACCAAGAACAAAATATGATATTTCATTTTGGTTGGCAATGGTTGCCAAGGTTTTTATACCACAGGGAGCCTTCAGAGTAATACTCTGTATGTATTAATCTGATCCAATCTTTAAAAAAAGCACATTTCCTCATAACTAATGATCAATTTTATAAGATGTTGGTGTGCTCCAAGTTTTCCCATTTGAAAAAAATTCAGATTAGATTCTTTAAATAGAGCGTTGCTATGGAAATAAGCAGAAAATATATGCTTAAAAACCTGAAAATTATTTCCTTTCCCTGGATACGTCCCCTTAAATGTAGATTCCCAAAACTTCTAGGATTGATATTTATTAACAGCTAACTTGACTTTTAATTTTGACTATCATCCAATCTCTAACTGGATGCAAGAAGTTGGGACACAGGGTTTAATATTGATAAAAAGTTCACAAAATCGAACATTTTCCCTTCTTGGTAACCATAGCAACAGTGTTGTTTTATTCATCAAATTCTATCAATATATGATATTCAACTTCCAGTTCTAACAGATAAGTACTATTCAAGCTGAGTCCTTTAATTTGTTTCTTGATTAAATGGCAATTTATTTCTTAATGCAGCGAAAAATAATTCACTTTTAAGCACTGGTACTTTGTTTCCATGGTAACACAGCAAAGTAGCAATTATACCCAATTTTTCTTATGGTTTTGGTGTTGCAAGGTCCTAAGGATGCATATTTGCCAGTCTTGAATTTTCATGTTTTTCCTCAAGACAGTAGCATTAACCCAATCTTAGTTACTGGTTCTGCATGGTTACACTGTGTTACCATGGCAACCATAAAAGTTATTTATAGAATAATATTGCTTATACTTATATACTTAAGGTCAAACATTTTCATTGCTTTTCTTAAGTCGTTGATTGAGTTTGAGCGTGTAACACCTACCATTAGAGAATACAAAGTGTTTTTCAGCATATTTCAGCATTTTAAATGTATTCCAAATGTACCCTTGGTTACCACTTACTTAGAGATATATTCTAAACAGTTTCTTTACAGTATAAGTGACATCAAGGTGTCATGTTTTTGTGAGAATGGTTTGTTTGCTTTTTCTAGTTTTTATTAAGCCATAGTCAAGATTTAAAGTGGGTGAAAATCTCGGTTTTTCAAACTTTTCCGGCTGTTGCCATAGCAACCGAGACACATAGCAACGAAATTTTGTTTGATATTTGTTTCTGGTGTCAAGTACTAAGCATGGGTGAAGTTTCATCAAAATCGGTGACCATGTGTGGCAACGAAGTTTAAGTGGTTACAGAGAATGGCTATTAACAACATGTATGTTTATTTATGTTCTAAATAAACTTGGCATTAAAATTTCAAACACAAAGTTTGTCAATTCAAACTAAAAGCTTAAGGGCCTTAAGGATCACCTGAATGCAATACCATCCTGTAAAGATTAATAGAATGGAATTTTATAAATATATAACTAAATACACTAAGACCGTGGAACATTAACTGGCAAGATTGAAAATATGCAGCTTATGTCATTTCCATCTTTTACAATCAAAACATTCAATGATAGACAATGAAATGGGCGGACAAAATTCGACGCGGATGCGGGGAAAACATTGGATTGAAATTCTAGTTTGAAATTCATTTCCAATCCACCTCAGCTACGCTAGCAATCTCCTATGCAGAGTTGTCGTTCGTTCCTCTCTCAGACACCTCTGCAATGGGCTCACGTCAAGATTTTTGACATAACGTATAAAACGTGATATTTGAAGGATTGTTTCAATTTAAATTACTAGTTCTGTATTGATTTAGTAAATATCTATCTCAAAACTCAAACATAATCATAGAAATTGAATTATAATGAATTAAAACAAACGCACTATTTCTCGTGTTTAACACTGTGTATACGCGAGCCAACGACAGAGGTGAATGTATGAGCCGATGGTAGAGAGTGCTACGCTAGAAGGCACATTAATACTGATTGACCCAGAGAACAAATAGTTTGAAAATAATATAGAAATCGGACTTTTATGTCCAGCGTTTTAAAGGAATATATGAAGGGACAATTATTTGATTTCTGTTTGGTATAACTTATGCCATGTACATGTTATGTGTGCGTTGGGGGGGGGGTTAATTATCTTGGAAATAAATAAGAATTTTCATTGAAGACAAAACTAAAAAAGCTCGTCATCCTAAAAATTATTTGGTACAATGCTTGATCTGACTCGACAAATTTTGACCCCCCTCCCCCCTTCTAGAATCATATGGCAGTCTCCTGAAAAAATGTCTTCTATGACTTTTACAAGTGTCCATAAGAATATATTATAGACTCTAAACTCATTATAGTATAAATTTCAACCAACATGTATTTGGAAATTGAAGTTATATTTGTCTTTTGGATCATACATTCACACTTTGCTTTTGAAAACAGCTCAGGTGGATTGAAAATGAATTTCAGTCCAATGTTTTCCCTGCGTCTGCGTCGAATTGTACCCGCCCATTTCGTTGTCTATCATTGAATGTTTTGATTGCAGCAGAAAGAAATGACGCAAGCTGTATAGTTCCAACTTTGCCAGTTAATGTTTTGTGGTCTTAATAGATTAATATAACTTGCACAGAACAAAAGAAATTGAATAGGGCCATCTTTAAAAAATTGTTTGGTTGCCCTCTCCCGACTGACTAAAATGGCCCGACTCAAAACTTTTTTTTACATTCTAGGACACAATATATCTATCTTTTTATTCCTCTTATTCCGTCAACAAACATGTTGAAAAAATTTCTAGAAAAAAGCTTGTCCCTCCTACCTATCGACCAATTAATTTTACCCCAAGTCGGAAGAGGGCAACCAAAGATTATTTTGATGATGGCTTAATGAAAATATTTATTCTGGTAGTAACAACCTAAGCTATTTAGATGCATGTGTGTGTCAGTGCTGACCTCTATCACCAAAACACACAGACTTCTTTCTGCATTGAAAATAATCAATACATATATACATGTACATATGTTTTTATTTCCTTCATTGATTTAGTAATTATCCCCATTCGTATTTGATAAAATAACGGATATATATCCTGGGGAAGTCGATAAAGATATCCTAATTTTTGTAACAGTCTGTGCAGAACATCAGCGGTCAGTCTTCCCAATTTTGTGTCCCCAGAGTTGAGTTGTCACAAACTGTACAAGTTCTTTTTCACTGATTGCCATAGTAACCAGAACACACAATAAACAGAGTCCTCCAATGACGATATGAAGGAGTCGGAACAGGTTGCCATAGCCACAACAGAAATAACTCTGAAAGAAAGAAAATTTATCTATAGTTCAAAAGATTGTCAACATGATGCAAACATTTATTCTATTAAGTTGTGTTTTATATGCACACACAATTTTGTGCATCATGCTTGTAACAAATGATCTTTATGAAGACAATTTTCAGCTCACCTGAGCCGAAGGCTCAAGTGAGCTTTTCTGATCACATTTTGTCCGTCATCCGTCTGTCTGTCTGTCTGTCCGTCTGTAAACTTTTCACATTTTCGACTTCTTCTCAAGAACCGCTGGGCCAATTTCAACCAAACTTGCCACAAAGTATCCTTGGGTAAAGGGGATTCAAGTTTGTTCAAATGAAGGGCCACGCCCTCATTCAAGGGGAAATAATTGGGAATTAATGAAAATTTGGTGTATGTTTTAAAAATCTTCTAAAGAACCACTGAGCCAGGAAAGATGAAACTTATGGGGAAACATCCTCAGGTAGTGTAGATTCAAGTTTGTTCAAATCATGACCCCTGGGGGTAGGGTGGGGCCACAATGGCCGACCAAAGTTTTACATAGAATTACATAGGAAAATTCTTTAAAAATCTTCATCTCAAGAATAGCAAAGCCATAATTGATCATATTTATATGGAAGCATCGTCAGGTAGTGTAGATTCAAATTTGTTCAAATCATGAACCCCAGGGGTAGGGCGGGGCCACAATGGCCGACCAAAGTTTTACATAGAAATATATAGGAAAATTCTTTAAAAATCTTCTCAAGAATAACAAAGCCATAATTGATCATATTTAAATGGAAGCATTGTCAGGTAGTGTAGATTCAAGTTTGTTCAAATTATGACCCCCGGGGGTAGGGCAGGGCCACAATGGCCGACCAAAGTTTTACATAGAAATATATAGGAAAATTCTTTAAAAATCTTCTTCTCAAGAATAGCAAAGCCATAATTGATCATATTTATATGGAAGCATTGTCAGGTAGTGTAGATTCAAATTTGTTCACATCATGACCCCTGGTGGTAGGGCGGGACCACAATGGCCGACCAAAGTTTTACATAGAAATATATAGGAAAATTCTTTAAAAATATTCTTCTCAAGAATAGCAAAGCCATAATTGATCATATTTATATGGAAGCATTGTCAGGTAGTGTAGATTCAAGTTTGTTCAAATCATGACCCCCAGGGGTAGGATGGGACCACAATGGCCGACCAAAGTTATACACAGAAATATATAGGAAAATTCTTTAAATATCTTCTTCTCAAGAATAGCAAAGCCATAATTGATCATATTTATATGGAAGCATTGTCAGGTAGTGTAGATTTAAGTTTGTTCAAATCATGACCCCTGGGGGTAGGGCGGGGCCACAATGGCCGACCAAAGTTTTACATAGACATAGGAAAATTCTTTGAAAATCATCTTCTCAAGAAGAAGCAAAACCATGATTGGTCATGGGACTACTTTTGGATAACTTTTCAATAATAAACCAATTTCTACTTTTTCCTAGCCACAGTGCTCAGTTGAGCGATGTGGCCCATGGGCCTCTTGTTTTTCTTTGTCATTGCAGTAAAAAATTCACAAACTTTTAGGACACCCATTTAACAGTTCTCATCCTTTTTATAAAAAGGGACCAAGTGTAAATTTGTAAATAAACTTATGCCCCCTCCCCAAAATATTTGGAATTTTTCCAAGTCCAAGAGACATAAATCTGTCAAAAATGGCCAGATCATACCAAAAACAGAACTTGACTTCGATATTCTTATGACAAATCATAAAACCAAATTTCATTTCAATATGTGCAACCTCTGCAAATAAAATGAACGGAAACTGCAAAGAATCGTAATTTTTTTAAAGTCCAAGGGGCATAACTCTGTCAAAATTGATTCAACCATTTCAATATGTGCAACTTCTGCAAAGAAAATGATCGGAAACTGATAGTGGACCGACAGATAGACCGAATGACTGACTGACAGGCTGACAGACAGCAGCAAAGCAATATGCCCTCCCTTCTTCAAAGGGGGGCATAATTATAGTGTACTTTATTATCAAAACATTTAGTAAATGTAATTCTGACACAGGTAAACTTTGGTATCTTGAAAACCTATATTAAGAATACCATGAACAGAGGTCCCAAGAATTTTTTTAAAAATATATTTTACCCTCAATATCTTGAATCCTTAGATTCTCATCCCCGTACGGTTTGAGATGACAAGGTTTGATTGTATGACGTACCTCTGACAAAGCTGTAATACAATAGGCAGCAGCCAGTGATCTTACCTCTGACAAAGCTGTGATACAATAGGCAGTAGCCAGTGATCTTACCTCTGACAAAGCTGTGATACAATAGGCAGCAGGCAGTGATCTTACCTCTGACAAAGCTGTGATACAATAGGCAGCAGCAGTGATCTTACCTCTGACAAAGCTGTAATACAATAGGCAGCAGCCAGAGATCTTACCTCTGACAATGCTGTAATACAATAGGCAGCAGCCAGGATCTTACCTCTGACACGGCTGTAATACAATAGACAGCAGCCAGTGATCTTACCTCTGACAATGCTGTAATACAATAGACAGCAGCAGTGATCTTACCTCTGACAAAGCTGTAATACAGAAGGCAACAGCCAGTGATCTTACCTCTGACACTGCTGTAATACAATAGACAGCAGCCAGTGATCTTACCTCTGACACTGTTGTAATACAAGGAAGCAGCCAGTGATCTTACCTCTGACAAAGCTGTAATACAATAGGCAGCAGCCAGTGATCTTACCTCTGACAAAGCTGTAATACAATAGGCAGCAGCCAGTGATCTTACCTCTGACAAAGCTGTAATACAATAGGCAGCAGCCAGTGATCTTACCTCTGACACTGCTGTAATACAATAGGCAGCAGCCAGTGATCTTACCTCTGACAAAGCTGTAATACAATAGGCAGCAGCCAGTGATCTTACCTCTGACAAAGCTGTAATACAATAGGCAGCAGCCAGTGATCTTACCTCTGACAAAGCTGTAATACAATAGGCAGCAGCCAGTGATCTTACCTCTGACAAAGCTGTAATACAATAGGCAGCAGCCAGAGATCTTACCTCTGACAAAGCTGTGATACAATAGACAGCAGCCAGTGATCTTACCTCTGACAAAGCTGTGATACAATAGGCAGCAGCCAGAGATCTTACCTCTGACAAAGCTGTGATACAATAGGCAGTAGCCAGTGATCTTACCTCTGACAAAGCTGTGATACAATAGGCAGCGACCAGTGTTCCCAGGACTGGATAGGAGGGGATAAAGCCCTGCAGAGGTTTATATCCACTATCCTTGTAGTAGTTATGAATGAAATAAACACTGAAAAGGAAATACTAATAAAATTTACTCAATAGTCAATATCATGGTTTGAAATGTGAAAGGAGTTTCATTTACCAAGGAATGTGACGAAGATCTGAAGAGATTTGATTATCACATAATTCTAGTTGGTAAGGTAAATTCTTTACTTCCCTTTTCCGTCTTTATACCTTTGAAGTATCCGACAGGCCATGTTGATGCAGTTTGCCAGTACGAATCCCACACTTCCCACCAGACGAGTCAGGAATAGAGAAGACACCAGTAGAATAATGGAGAACAGTAACATCTTATGGTTATAACTGTAAAATACCATCAACATGTATTACAAAGAGGACAGAATCAGGCAATAATAACAAGATTTTTTTAATATTTAGACTAAAATATCTACTGAAATATACCAGGGTATATCAAAAGAATTTTCCTAACCTGTCAATCTCTTTCTTACTCATGACAGCAAAATAGAAGCATTCTGTTATACCATTAACTGCTAGCACCAATACATAGAGACAGTACCACCTTAGTAACAGGGGACCTGGAAAACAAGAGCACTAGCCATTATAAACTGCTGGCAACAAAACATAGAAACAAGTAGTATCACATACCTCAGACATACCAGAAGACTTGAAAATCACATAAAATCACCTGCAGTTGTGAAAGGTAAAACAGAAGACATGTATGATGTGATTTACTG